TATCAGAATCTACTTGACAGCAATGGGTTTTGGTTTCTAATATACTGCAAGCATGTTCTGGCTTCCCTAACCCTTGGTACTAGACAGGTGGCCTTTATTTGGAAATAAGGTCTTTGCAAATGTAATCAAAGGAACATGAGGTCATTAGGGTAAACGCTAATTTGACATGACTGGTATCCCTATAAAAAGAGGAAAAGAACAGACAGAGAGAGAGAGAGCCTTATGAGGACGGAAGCAAAGATTAAGGTATCAACAAGCCAAGGAAAATCAAGGCTTGCTAGCAACACCGAAAGCCAAGAGAAAGACATGGGACAGATTTTCCCCTCCAGACTGCAGAGAGCAGGGCTGGTTTTAGACTTCTAGCATTCAGACTGTGTTAAGTCAGACTCTTGTTGTTGTTGTTAGGTGCCGTGGAGTCAGTTCCCACTCATAGCGACCCCTGTACAGGGGTTCCGAGGCTGTAAATCTTTACGGGAGCAGAAAGCCTCATCTTTCTCCCGCGAGTAGCTGGTAGTTTCGAACTGCTGACCTTAAGGTTCACAGCCCGATTCATAACCACTACACTTCTAAGTGTAGTAATTTGTTATGGTAGCTCTAGGAAACTAAAACTGAGCAGCAGGAGAGACAGTGAATCTTCCATTCATCAGGGGAAGCAACTATACTAAATTCTAACACCAAAGATGAATTTTGAATGGTTTTGCACTTTATATCTACCCTCTCTCATATCTGCTACTTTTGCTTTACACTATGCTAAGATTCTTCCACACTAGTATGTAAAGTTGTATTCCATTCATTCTCAGTGCTATACAGAATTTCATTGTGTGACTACACAATTACTACCCATTCTATCACCGATGGCTATTTGTTAGATTTAAGAGCTTTTTGCTATTTCAAACGGCACTAATACATTTATATTTGTGTCTTTGGAACATATGCACTCATTTCCTTGACTAAATATACTGAGTTTTAAAGCACCAACAATGTGAGCCAGATATAATCTTTTCTATATAATGATGTTGTTGTTGTTAAATGCCACTGAGTCGGTTTGATCCATAGCGACCCTGTATAGGGTTTTCAAGGAGTGACTGGTGAACTTGCACTGCCTACCCTCACAGTTCAAACCAACTTTGCAGTCCAGTGCATTAACCCGCAGTGCCACACCAGGAATCCATATAGCTATGGTCACAGAAAAATCTATGATATATGTGGGTCAAAAGGAAAGTATCAAAGCACAGATTTAGAGTTTCTAGCCTTTTTGATAGTAGCCTTGGGCCAAACCTAGATAAAATACCTTCCAAAATATTAGGTCCCAGGTTCTCTTCCTGAACAACCTCTTCATCCTCTGCAGCACTGTCACTGTCGGAACTAGAATTACTTGACGTCACCAGCTCTTCAGAGGCAGGATTCCTAGTCTCTGGATACGAGTCGGCTGGCAAGTGAGGCTGGGTCCTGCTCACTTGAAAGAAAGCACTCAAAGGTGTTCTTGATCTATGTATGCAGAAAGACAATACAATGAACTACTGTTCATCACAAGAATATCTAACATCTAACAGTAATATGAAGGTAAATCCTCTCAACATCAACCAATTCCCAACTTTCACTCCTGTCTTTGGAAGGTGAAACAGATCCAAGCGTTTTTTAAATATTCATTCCTGATTTTATATTCCTGCATTGGAGCTTAATCCATATCCTAAGAGCTAAGTAAAGTTTACTGTGTGTTGGTCATGTGTCCACATCTTTTAGAGAAAATGACCCAGCAATTTGTTGTGAAAAATCGAAAGGATTATCATATGTACTCAAATGAATTCACACAGTTTCCACAAGGCTTTTCTAAAGCCAGCCTACTCAACTTTCAGTCTACTGTGCCATGAAATGATGTGCCAGCAAACAACGGATCTGGTATGACTGGCTACTTGTAAGGTGAAGAAATACATTTTGAAAAGACGTATTTAAAGAAAACTACAAAACATTGTAAGAAATCAAAACAGATGAACAAAAATGGAAGAATAGACCAATACACCATGCACATGGACAGGAAGACTTAACATCGTGAAAATGTCAATACTACCCAAAGCAATTTACAGATACAACACAATCCCAATCCAGATTCCAACATCATTCTTTAAAGAGATGGAAAAATGATCACGAACTTTATATGGAGCAGAAAGAGATTTCGGCTAATCAAAGAACAGTTTTAGAAGAACAAAGTAGGAGGCCTTTCACTTCTTAATTTCAAAAATTACTACATAGCCACAAAAGTCAAAACAACCTGGTACTGGTATTACAAAAGATATGTTGATCAACAGAACAGAACTGAGACCCCAGAGGTAAATCTACCCACATACAGTCAATTGATCTTTGACAAAGGGCCAAAACACATTAAACGGGAAAGACATAGCCTCTTCAAACATGGCATACATACACTGTCAAACATTAAAAAACTGCACACATAGAAGATGACAAAACAGATGACTGGAACCTCCTAAAATTAGAAACTTATGTGTATCAAAAGATTTCGCAAAAATAGTAGTAAGGGAGCCCACAGTCTGGGAAAATTTTTTTTGCAATGATAAATCAGACGAGGGACTAATATCTAAAATTTATAGAAAACTACAACACCTCTACAAGAAAAAGGTCAACAGCCCAATTTAAAAATGGGCACAGCACATGAACAGACACTTCACCAAGACATCCATGCAGTCAATGAATATATGAAGAAGTATTCATGATCATTAGCCATTAGAGATGCAAATCAAAACAACATTCTAGTATCATCTCATACCAGCATTAGTACTGAAGTTCAAAAAAACAGAAAGCAGCAAACGCTAGCGAGGTTGTGAATAGATTGGGACCCTCCTAGATTGCTGGTGGGACTATAACATGGTCAACCACTCTGGAAAACGGTATGTCACTTCTCAGAAAGTTGGAAATAGAAATACCTTATAATCCAGCAATCCCTCTATTTGGTATATACATACAAAAAATACGAGCTAGAACACACCGATGTTCAATGCAGCACTAATCACGACAGTGAAAGGATGGAGACAGCCTAAGTGCCCATCAATGGAAGAATGGATAAGTAAACTTTGGTACATACACACAATGGGATATTATGCAACCATGAAGAATACAAAACACCTCATAACATGGTTGAACCTGGAGAACACTATGCTGAGTAAAATTGTTGTTAAGTATTTGAGAGTCGGTTCTGACTCATCAACCCTGTACAGGGTTTCTGAGAAATGGCTGTTGAGCTTGAACTGGCGACCTTTTGCAGTCCAAGACATTAGTGCCACACCAGGACTCCAAGTGAAATTAATCACTCACAAAAGGACACATATTGTATGACACTTTTACTGTAAAGGCTTACGAAACGGTTTCCACATTAAAAGAAACCCAGGGGCTGGAGGGAGGGAAGAGTAATTCACTGGCTAGAGAGTAGACTCGTTAGCCAGGGTGACACGGAGGGCAATCTATGAGGAGGGTGGAGAACAAACAAGATGGCAGATCGGGAAGAAGTGCAGTGAGGAGTTCCATCAGCAATAACATAGAATACTGGACCATGTAGGCTCAGGATGGTGCCAGAATGCTGAACCACATGTAAAGGACTATTTAGAAGGTTGGAAGACTTACAGCTAGGGGATTTGTAGTAGAAGAGAGAAATCCATAGTTTTCTAATTCAATATGCTCAGCTGTTCCTGGAGCCGCCATCTTGGTCTTGGGTGAGACCACGCAGGGGAAGGATCAGAGCAGCCATGGAAGCCTGACAGAACCGTGGAGATAAAGATGTGGATGTTCTTTTTTTTTTTGTTATCTGTTCACTGGCCTCTCGCAGTCTGTGCATCTCCATTCTGGAGACTAGAGAGGATGCTTGAGCTAGTGGACACCCTACCCTGGAGGGTTCTACTATCCATGTGCACAGATCTCCTTGAAATTTAAAGTGACAGTTTCCACTTAAAATCAAACGGCAGTACAAAACAGCCACAGCTGGCCCTGTACTGTTTTATCATACAAATACAAATGCAGTGACTCTAAATTCCTACTGGAATGGAAGGATTCTTCATCTCAGAGAACAACCTTGTGTCCTTGATAGGGACAAGAAACTTAAGACATTGGCTACTAAAAATGGGGGGGAATACAGGTACCAGCGACGTGAAGCTGATCGGTCAAGATGGCAGATGTGGAAGAAATCCTGAAGCAGCTGCAGAGCCAGAAGGGTGTGCAGGGATCATCCTGGTGAACACGGGCGGCATTCCCGTCAAGAGCACCACGGACAACGCCACTAACCACACAGTACGTCAACTTCACTCACAACTTCATCTTGAAGGCACGCAGGCCCATGCGAGAAATTGACCCCCAGAACTTCCTTCAAATTCGCTCAAAGAAAAATGAAATTACGATTGCAACAGATAAAGACTATTGCCTGATTGTGAGTCATCAGAATCTAACTGAATAAGTCACTCTCTTGGCTCGTCTCCCTGTGTCATTCCTTAATTTAATGCCCGCCAAGAACAGTTGGAGTCCTGGTGTGGCACTGTGGGTTAATGAGCCAGACTGCAAAGCCGTTTGAACGGCAAGGTCGGTGGTTCAAGTTCACCAGCTGCTCCTTGAAAACCCTGTACAGGGTCACTATGGGTCAGAATCGACTCGACAATACTTAACAAGAAGAGTTAGTCATGCCAACCCACCCCAAGTGGAAATCACCTCGTTGCTGCTCACTTGCAACAACCTAGTGACCAAGGCTGAGCTGGTGCCCCACTCACCCCACCAAAGGAATCCCTCTGCTGCACCAGCTACCCCGAGGTGCCCGCCAGGGGTCTTTCCCCTCCATGAAGTCCCCCTCTGATCACTTCCAGGGGCTGGAGCAAGAGCTTGTGAGAACCCGCACCCACCTTCCTCCTGACTTTCAGTTCACTTGTTGCCCTTGGGAAAGGCTACTTTTCTTTAACTAAAATACAACCAGAATGCTTAAAAAAAAAAAAACAAAAAAAACCCCCAAGCAAACAAACTGAGGGGGTGAGAGGTGGATATAAAGGCATGAAGTGGCTGGCTTACGAGCCTTCACGCTTGTACTTAGTTTCAGAATGAGGGGGTTAAGGTGAAATCCCCACTGAATAGTTTCCCTCTTTCCCACATGGAGCTGGTAAAATGGGATGGGGGACGATGGTGATAGGATTTTAGATTCCATCGTGAGTAATTGTTAGCAGGATTAATTGCAACTGTCATAACTGTAAAAGAAGACTTGTAATTTAAAGGAGGGGAGTTGTTGTTGTTGTTGTTGTTAAGTACCGTGGAGTTGGCTCCGACTCATAGTGACTCCGCACAGGGTTTCCGAGGCTGTAAATCTTTATGGGAGTGGAATGCCTCATCTGTCTCCCGTGGAACCACTGGTAGTTTCGAACTGCTGACCTTGAGAGGTTGGCAGCCCGACTCGTAACCACTACGCTATAGTTAATCTTTTATTTTAGGAACAGATGATCCCAGGACCATTAAGAAGGAAGAGCATGAGTGGAGTCCTACCTAGAAAAGCATCAACAGCAGAGATGGTGGCAGAGGCAGTGGCATGGAGACAGAGCAGTTGTGGGCTCTAGGCCTGTGGACTGAGAAAGGCTGTATGCTTGTGGACAGGAGGTTGGCTTGCAGAATGTGCACTTTGGGCATTTAAATGAATATATTTTTTTGTTTTGTAAGTGCACATCAAATATTTTTGCCTTGTTAATTTGTGAAATATAAGATATAAATGAGGAGCCACAAGGAATAAGGAGAATAACTGTTGTTACAGGGAGGGGATTGTAATAAAAAAAAAAAAGAAAGAGAAAAAATAAATACATTTTGGTACTGTATAAGGCACACATGATCTAAAGAGTCAATCTCTACAGAAAATACGGCCAATCAAACATCTCCAATCAAACATATTTGACTTCCTAGTTTTCAAAGCTCATCAGTACACACTCTCCTTTCACACTTTGTATAGGAAACTATACAAGTACTTTTATTTCCATCTAACTTATGAGAAAATGAATGCTCAGGAAGGTTACCTAGCTTGCCAAAGGTCACACTGCCAATCCTTGATGGCACCAGGACTATGACACATACATTTACCTGGTACCATTTGTCCTCTGAGACCCTGCAGATCTTGCCCTGCGAGGAGCAGAACCTCTCCTTCTTCTCACTGGCCCCACATTGTGGTCTGCAGGTGGCGGTCTCAGGAATTCCAGCATGCCATGAAGCCTCTGCAGCCCGCTGATAAAGGTGGTCATCGACTCTAGTGAAGCCGTGTTGATGGTATGGTTAGAAATAGATTCCAGCAGATCTCCCTGGGAAGGGCCTGGATCAATGGTCTCCATTTGCTCTTCTCCTGAGGGTACCACTTCCTCTGTTAAGTCAGTGGATACCTGCGACACAGGCTGGGGCACAGGTGGTCCAGCTTGGCTGCTGACCACTTCAGTGGGAGGTGGTGCTTCTGCAGAGTGAGGGTCTGACTGTTCCTGCAGATGATATTCCATCCCTTCATGGGCCATCACTAGGGAAGCAGTGTTAATATAAAAAATATTAGTGAAATACATAAAACCTGTCATGGTGTCAATATTTCTGGTCTTTCAGAAAAGAAGCCCTGGTGGGCTTCATAATCGGTGGGCGCTTTGCTGCCAACCTAAAGGGTGGCAGTATGGTCTCACCTAGCAGCAGCCACAGAGGAAAAAGATATAATGATCGGTTTCCATTAAAATTACAAACTACCCAATACTGTGTTCTCAGACACTTTATCAATCCCGGAATGAAATTTACCTCCTGGTTCAAATTTCAGGCAAAGGATGGGTATGTAAAGTGAACAGTAACACTAGGGAGGTATGCACTCTTTGGGACAGGCAACCACAAGAGATAAAAAGAGAAGCATTTGCTTAAGAATGAAGTTCAGAAGGGACAAGAAAGAAGGACAAATGGGAAAAGGAAACAGCATGTAAATGAGAAGAAAGCTCTAACACAGTAGGGATTACCGAAACAATGAACTGTTGAATGGCAAACCATTTTACTCTATACAGTTTTACCTGAATCACAATAAAAAGTTTTAAAAGAAAAAAAAAGGAAATGTTACAGTCTAGAAAACCCCATAGGGCAGTTCTATGGCCACATGGGGTTGGGAGGAATTGACTCAATGGCACCAACAACAATCTGTTAGAATTTGTTTAGCTCATTCTTGCAAAACCAAGAAGCTTAGAGAAAAAACTTTAGTTTCTTATTTTCAGTCAGAGGAGTATTGGTTATAATAGACTTTTTCATCCACAACAGGAACTTGGAATAAGTTTCCCAGCTCACCCTTTGAAAACAAGAAGTCATAAAATGATCATAAAACTTCTAAAATAGAAGATCTAAAAAATAAGAGATTAAACCACTGGAATCTCCCCCAAATAAATGCATATGATGCTATATTTTGCTTTAGTAAGCAATCAATATTTGGGGCCCACTATAGCTCTGCAGGATAAGTCCTCGACTTGTGACCCACAAGATTGAAACTCTGAGCCCATCAGTTTCTCTACAGGAGAAAGATGAGGCTTTCTGATCCTGCAATGAATTACAGCCAGTTAGAGGCTAGGGGAAGGTCCCAGAGACTTGAATAAGAGCAATGGTGATGGAAGATAGGTAGCTTTGAGAATCCTCAGCATAGGCAGGCTACTTAAAATTGTGGGAGAAGATTAAACCACCTAAGAACAGATGTAGACATAGAGGGCATAGGACTGAAACTGGAGACACTAACATCAGAAGGATAATAGTTACAAAAAGAGAAGTCATTAACCAAGAAGAGCTGTCACCAAAGACTAATCAAGGCAGGAGGAAATCTGGGAGTGTGTAGTGTCTTGGCAGAGAATGCCTGAAGGAGGGAATGAATGTCCAGCATATTTTAACTGCTGTAGCAAAAGCACTGGACTGGTACCCTCAAGGTCAGCAGTTCAAACTCACATCAATCATTCCTCAGAAATCCTAAGTAGGGTCCCTATGAGTTCGGACTGACTCGATGGCACTAAGAACAAGGGGAAGGGACTCTCAAGATTTAAGAAAATGGAGACCATAAATAAACCAGAGAAGAGCAATTTCTCTGAAGTGATGGGGTTAGAGGTCAAACTGGAATGGGTGGAAATTTGCAGATTCCAATAAATATGTTGGATGAAGTACACTTATTCCACTTTCACCCATGAATATGACTTAAAAAGTAAAAGAGAGTTCTCTAGAGACACAGACCAGTCCAAACCACCCAGGAAATCTATACATACTACCAGCTGTAAACCCTCACCCAAATGGCTGTGTTTCTGTACTTAAATACCTACCCACAAAGTCCACCAGATAAGCTTTACAGAGTTTCCACCAGCTTTTGGAGGGTCTCTCCTTAAAAACAAACAGCCAAAGATCAGATCAACTTACATTTGAGGAAAGAGATTAATGCAAATAAACAGAAGAAACTTGGAGGGAAAAAGAAGATAAAAAGCCCCAAATGCCAAACTAACAAACCAGATTTCATGGGTATAGTTGTTGAACCTATAAAACAAGAACAAAATGTCAGCGGGGGAGGGATTCAGACAAGAAGCTCATTTGGGGTGGGGGGGCAGCCCAAATAAAATATATTTTTATTTGGAAGAAAATTGAACCTTCCCAGAAAATAGACATGGTCTCATTTTTGTTCCTCTGAGTGTCTGGTGGATTTGAACCACCCAGTTTTTTCAATTAGCAATCAAACACGTAATCCTCTGCACCACCAGGGATCTTTCAGAAAACGGAGGGGAAGAAAGTAAATTAAAACCTCTGGCCAATAAATATGGAACCATAATCGTTCTCTCTTTCTTTTTTTTGCAAACAAAACCCCCCTAACATACACACAGACAAAAAACCAAAAACAACCCACAGGGACTCTTGGTGGTAGCCACTGTGCACATGGACCCCGCTTGCTCCTGCCTTGTTTGCTTCCACCAAACCCATATTTGATAAGCCACATAAAACTGAGATAGAAAATTCAATAAATCAAAATCAAGGAAGACAGAAATGCAAGAGACAAATACAGTGCCTTCCAAAGAAACAGGCAAGCAAGTGGGTGAATAGTAATGAGGTGCCGCCACATACACCCTGCAGGTACATCCTACAAGCACTATCTTATTTTCCTTCTTTTTAGCTGTTTAAATCTTTTCAGAGAACTAGTGACAAAGAAAGCGGCACACCTATGGTGAAGGAATGGTGGGACTCCAGAGAATAAAATACACAGGAAAAACAAAGCTGGGCCAAGAGGTTCTGCAGGTATCAAATGCGGTTTAATCAGAGGTCATTCATTTTGTTGTTGTTGTTCATGTGATTTCAATTACTGGAATGCAAAAATTTTAACATGCAAATCAAGTTTAAAAACCTGGTGGGGGTGGGGATGGGATGGGGGTGGAGCCATCAGGTTTCAAGGGTGGATTACAGGCTAGGCTAATCCCAAAGTCAGGGAGCTCTGGTGGCGTACTGGTTACTAGTCAGGCTGCTAACCTCAGGGTCAGCAACTCGAAACTACCAGATGTTCTGCGGGAGAAAGAAGTTGCTTTCTGCTCCTGTAAAGATTTACAGCCTTGAAAACTCTGTACAGGGTCACTATGAGTCAAACCAATTCCATGGCACATACCAACAACAATCCCCAGGTCAGCATTTCAAATCTACCAGACCCTTCTCTAGAGAAAGATGAGGCTTTCTGCTCCAGTAAACATGTACAGCCTTGAAGACCCTATACAGGGGTCACTATGATTCAGAACCGACCAGACAGCACACAGTCACCACCACCACAAGCCCTGGTTGTTCAATGAGTTAAGCATTGGGCTACTAACCCCAAGTGTCGGCAGTTTGCACACATCAGTAATGCTGAGGGAGAAAGATGAGGCAGTCTTCTTCCATAAACAATGACAACCTTGGAAACTCTATGGGGCACCTCTACTCTTTCCTATAGGGTAGACTACACAGCTGTGGGTTTGGGTTTAATCTTTACAAAATTGACGGCCACATCTTTCTCCTGTGAAGCAAGCAGTTGGTATGTTCCAACCTTTCCGTTCACAGCGGAGCTTAATCACTGTGCCACGAGGGCTCGTTTAACATAATCAATCCCTCCAACATAATATCAAAAGCAATTTATAGATAAATCCTCTATAATTTCATTTTCTTGTTGTTTAAGGGCCGTATAGTCGGTTCCTACCCATAGAGACCCTGTATAGGGGGTTTCCAAGGAGCAGTTGGTGGTTTTGAACCGCCATCCTTATGGTTAGTAGTCCAGTACTTGTCCTACAGTGCCACACCAGGGCAGTTAAAAACAGGCATAACCATGTGACTATGGATTTATAAACATGGGGTCTGGTGCTATAGCATCAAATACGTAAAAACACAACAATCCTGTTGTTGTTGTTAAGTGCCATCGAGTTGGCTCCGACCCATAGCGACCCTGTATAGGGTTTCCAAAGAGCAACTATTGAGCTTGAAGCGGCGACCTTGTGGCTCAAACTGACTTTGTAGTCGAATGCATTAACTAACCCACAGTGCCTCACCAGGACTCCAGGTGCTAAACACCTATTGAATTATCCACTACACAGCTTGAAACAAAACAAAAACCTAAAAAATACCAGGGGTTCTAAGTACTGTTGGACTCCTGGTGTGGTGCTGTAGGATCAGCATTGGACTGGGAAGCACAGGGTCCCTTGAGTGGGAAACGACTCTAAAGGGCTGAACAACATATATATTATCTCACCAAGACTTCTGCGGTCACAGTCCTTACAGAAGAACCCAGCCATCTTAAGCGACTGTACTAGCGGAAGACAAGAATTACTCTTGTCCCAAAATCTCATCAAAAAACTCTTCACTAACTTCTATGAACTGAGGTTAAATTAAAACCTTTAAAACAAGCTTCTAGTGGGCCAAGGGATTTCTA